TGTCTTTGAATTTTCACAAAATATTTCGATTTAATGAATTTTATTTTTTTGTTGCATTATTTATGATCGCCACTGTAGTGGACATTCGTTTTATCACATGCGACAAAATCGATCATTGATCTTTTTTATGTTGTAAAACATGTGACTTTATTTTTTGCGTGATATCTGGAAGGGAGATCGTCACAATTTAGCCAATGAAATCAAATGTCCATTATGCTGTGCTGTGAGGGAAGATTAGTGAAAGTGTCATTAACAATTGGCGCAGTCTAGCTAAACTCCAGGGCTTTGCATCCTCCCCTGGAATTCAGTTGCATAATTGTATCGTCGAGGGGTCGCAAGTCATATTAGCCTTGTGCGCACGAGGAATACGTGAGAATGACTGTAAAGTGTTCAGGGCAGTGTGTGTGCTTCAACATCTGCCAATTTTCGATAATCAAACATTGCATATTGAATTGTTTCAGTTGTGCTGCCTTGACATCTTGTAATTATTTATTATCAATAATATTAATATTACTGATTATGCAAAGCAAAATGCCAATCGTTCATTCGTTGTCATCTTGACAAGGATCTTATAATTACCCAGCAATGATCTGCTCCACGTTTTGATTTCAATTATAATATTTATAATATTTATAATAACCAAAAAAAAGACAATGCAAATTAAAAAAAAGTGTACCTCTGTCATTAACACGTCTTCTTTAGGAGAACCACGTTTTTGTCATCTTGTCAAAATAAGATTATTTTTCCAAAAAGAAAAATATCGCGTCTGTATCAAAAACAGTCTTTGTGCAACACCAAGTGCCAATAATAATAATAATAATAATAATTTATTTTGTTTACGTGTGTTTTTTTTAACTAATTTTTATTTTTTTCTTTTAATCAAAATGTATAAACAAAACAAAAATAAGAAACAGAGAGGACAATAAAGGAGAAGCAAAAGCATAAGTGTTTTAAGGATGGTGGTGGTTATCGCCACTCGTCGTCATTCTAGTTCTAGTAATAAATTTTGGTTTTTTTTAAAATGGTGTAGACAATGATAAAATTAAAACCGTATTGAATGAAGTAAATGGAGAACGAGATATATTAAAAATCCAAAATAAAAAATTAAAAATCATATCAGATAAATTACGAATTGAATCGTACGAATTGAAGAAACGATCTAATGATTTAAGTAAAGAAATAATTCGACTTAGAGGGCAGGTTTGTTTTTTAAATACATTCACATTATTGATTGCTTTTTTACAAATATCTTTTCCACTATATTCACATATATATAGTTAAAGGTTCACTCTTCATTAATTAAATCAAATTTTCTAATACATATTTAGATTGAAGGTAAAGGGAATCTACCAGAAAAACGAACTCTTTCTACTAAACCCAACAAAGAAAAATTGATAGGTAAGCTTTAATAACAAGGATATGTAGAATGGGTTGTGAGCTAACAATTTTTTTATTATCTTTCTTATCAGATCCATCATTCGAGAATATCATTGATTTAGTGAAGCAATTGAAGTTATCACAAGATAAAGGTAACAATCATTTGCAAATATTTTATCAAGTTTATCATATTTGGCTCTTAACTTTTACATCTTGTGTATCCTTTTTTAAAAACCTGAAGAATTGGAGGAAATCTCAGAAATGAATTTACAAAATATTATAAAGAGCCCTAATGACAGATCGTTCCCAGTTATTAATAGCCAGCATTATATGTGAGAGAAGAATACAAGGACATTTATCATCTATTGATCAATAATTCATCAACTGGTTCCTGTCATAAGTTCATTGTCACTGGAACATCAGGTGTAGGTAAATCGTGCTTTTTGGTTTATTTCTTGATCCGACTATTGTATGAATGTGAAAATATTACAAGAAAAGTCAGAAATTCTATTGCTTTGATAAAGGTGGAATTAATGTTGGAAGTTCACATGACTTCTCAGATTGCTTCAGATCTGGTGAAACATGGTACCTAGCAGATGGTGTCATAAATCCTGAGGATGTTGAGGCAAAAACAGTGATCGCTTTATCACCAAAATGCATAAAGAAAGATGAATTCCAAGAATTTGATAAAATTATTGTAAAGAAGTTTTATATAAATTTCAAACACTGTGAAAAGCATCGGGAAACACTTGTTAGATTGTGAAAATTTTAAAGCTTGCTATTCTGATAAAATTGAATTTGTAGAAAATCATCTTGAAATAATCAAACAAAAAGAATCACAAAAAGATCTAGTAAATATTTACCAATTTAATACATGAGAGTTTTCTTTTTTATATATGTACATATATATTTATTTACATGTTTCTATCTATATTTTTATCAATTGTTTTAGGCAATACTGATAATATTTTTTCAGCAACTTATACTTCTGTTAGATCAATTAAACGTGTAAGGAATGATTCATCAACAAACCAATTAGCATTAAATGATTATCTTGGTAATAAAATTAATAATAATAATTCGAATAATCCAATCCAATTAAAATTTTTTTATCAATCTATTTTTCCTTAGTCCTTGAATATAGTGATAATAATAATTAGTAGTAGCTAACATTTTCCTTAAGCCATAATACTAGCAATTATAGTAGTAATGTAGATTATAAATATAATTATTGTTTATATTATCTTGTTATAATGAATAATTTTAATATATAGTAATAGATCGAATAGATTTTTTAATTCGAATTTTTTACCGACGATCATTTTACCGACAGTTTATTTTACCGACAACTCGGGGTTTACATTTAATCTCCACATAATCAAGCAACTAATAAAATGCTAAAATGGCGCGCCACGTGTTGTCGGTAAATGACTGTCGGCAAAATGATTGTCGGCAAAGTGATTGTCGGCAAAGTAATACGTCGAATAAGAATTTGTATTACGAATAAAGCCCCGATATGGAATCTTTGTTTTATTTTAAAACAATATATATTTTCAATGACAAAACGATGTTATTTCGCTATCGGTTGTGCCCAGCTGAGAAAACCTTAAGACGAGCGAGATTTTGTTGGCACGATAATAATTAACCAGAGGTACTTTTTTTTTACTTGTATTGATGATATGTATGTTCTTTAGTTTATAAATATTTTAATTGAAACCAAAATGCGGAACAACTCTCGCTGGGCAATAAGATCCTTACGAAGATGGTAAATGAATGGTATTTTGCCTTTTGTAGTCGTAATCAGTAATAATATTAATAATATTATAAATATTTAATTACAGCACACCATTGAATATGAAACATTGCGATATGCAATGTTTAATTATCGGAAAATTAGCAAGTGTACGCTACCTTGAACTTTACAGTCATTCTCTCAAGTTCTCCTTATATTCAAAAGGCTAATCTGACCTGCACCCTGCGATGAATACAATGATGCGCTGAGTTCCAGGGGTGGGGGGCATGGCTCTGGGGTTTATCAAAGGGTGCATCATCGTCAATGACTTTTTCACTAATCTTCCCTCACAGCACCAGACCAGAGAGAAAGCCCAAAAATTTGCCTGCAACAATCCTAAAGATGGCTCCGCAACCAAGCATAAACATCAAAGCAACGAGGATCTGCAACTCGTTTCAAGGACAGGAAGTCGCAATTCAGAACAGGTTGGTGGCCCTGATGTTAGGAGGAAAGCCGTAAAACAAAATGGATCAAATTTCGTTTGGTATATTATATAAATTAATCACTCCCAAATTTCTGTTTGTCTTTAATTTTTATTTGACCAACTGAATTTGTTTTTTAAATAGGGACAGGTTTGTTGGTGAGTAGGCATGCCACCAATAAAAATAGCAACCAGGGACTCAAAGCAATCGTCACACAAATTCCAATCATCATCAATGCTCATATGACAACATCCAGCCTGGTCTGAGGAGAAGATAGGGAAAGTTTTGTCCAAAGGCTTCAAAATTGCAAGTGTCTCACCTGTGGAAAAAATTTCATAGGAATGGGGCGGTGTGTAAACGCCCGTTGTGCAAAGTTTGTTACAGGAAACTTTAATTAAATCTGACTCCTGCAATTAACATCAGATTTATTATCCATAAGAAACCATAATTTGATAATCAGGAAAAATAATTTATTTTGTGAATCCCAGAGATCTGGGTAGACACACATTGTTAAGAGTTTCATTTCTGCATGGCCTTGATGTTATTACCATCTGGGTGATGCAATTATTTGTTATGCCAATTATGATATCAAATGTATTGAATAACAATCATGACCATCATGAATATTAGTATATAGAGTCATTTACATACAAGGAAATGATTAAAATATGCAATAAAAAAATTGCATGGAATCCAAGGCTGGACCAATAACGCCATTACATGTTTCAAGCAATGTTTAAATACATTGGTGCACTTTTGTAATCTTATTGACGGGGATAGGTTTGTACGCAATTTAAAATTCTTTTGTATTAACTTAAAGTCACATCTTTTTTTGTTCTTGTAGGTAACATTTTACAAATTGAGTTATTTTACCTTGATGTAATTTTACCTTGATGTAATTTTACCTTAATGTAATCATTATATCAAATTAATTTTTTTTTAAGTTTCAAAAATTGATTATTTTGAAAAATAGAGTTACTTTTCAACAAGATAAATTATATAAGTATTTTTGAGCAGGTACTTTAATTATTTCTTTAATCATCAATTCTACTTTTTCTATTTATTGGATTACACAAAAAAATTATGAAATAGAATTTATCCAACAAAATGTGGTGAGCTGTATCTCATATTTTAAAAGTTGGTACATAAGGCTAATGTTTCTATTATCAGTACTTGTCTCGGGTAAATTATGAACACATAAATTGGCAACCTTGGGTGTACGACTTAACAAGGACTAAAATAGAAAGCCTGTAAAACTTCTTAGAGGATAATCCTTTTATGTTAAAAATACATAATAATATATAAATAATAAAAATATAAATAAACTATAATTAATCTTCTTGTTATAATCTATTCAGAAGAAATTAAGTAAATTTTTACATTTATTAAAAAATATAAATCACTACACATGATTTGTTAAAGCAATAATAACATTTTCTGTTTATGATCAACAATGTATGGAAAAATTCATTGGTAAAGGTTATCAATTTTTTATTAACTTGTTATTATTTCATTTATTGTTTGCTTTTTAAATTGTCTTTTCTCATTTTGATTATTAATGATGATAAGCCAATTTAAATCTAGGCCATAATTATTTTTCATGGAAAGGTTGACCAAATTTTCCCAATTTCTCTTGGGATGCTGGGGATGGGTTCAACACACTGCCCGTCCCCCGTCCTTTTCAAGGCCCATTAATACTAGAAAAGGACATTAACAGGTGTGGCGTGGTGAAGGCGCAGAAATCCTTCCCCTGTCCTTTTTCACTACACTCCTTTGCCAAGAAACTTATTTAATACGTCAGGGATTGGTAAAACTTATTTTAAAAATATCCGAAATCATCCGATAAACCATGGTCTTTTAACAAGAGTTCATGGTAATATTAAAAAGATGCCTCAATGTAAAACTAAAATGGTGATTGACAAAAATGTTGCAGAAATAGTAAAGAATTTTCTGAAAAATTATGCCAAAGTTCATGGTTTGTCAAGCCCAGGGAGAAGTAACAATAGAATAACTCAATCAGTTACATTCTTACCATCTGAAATGAGTCATAAATCTGCGCACAGGTATTTTCTGGCTGATCTAGAAGAAGATAGCAAATTGAAATCTTTGAAGTATGATGTCTTCAGAAAATTAAGACATCAATTGCACCAGAGATTCAAATTATGAGTCCAAGAACTGACTTGTGTGATGCTTGCTAACATTTTCAAAATGGTTTACATTACAATGCTCGCCAAGAAGAAGCTAAAGATTTACTCAAAGGATTTAAATAACATCTGTCCAAGGCCAAATTAGAAAAAAATTATTATAATAAAAATAGGGAATTGTTATTCGTACCCCCATTTTTGTTATTCTCACCCCTCCTGTGACTAAGTGTAGTAATGTGACCAATGAATGGCTTTAAAATGTGATGATTTTATTGGTTCATCTTTGTCTTAGTCACGGGAGGGGTGCGAATAAACAAAAATGGGACGAATAACAATTCTCTAAAAATATTAAATTGGCTAAAGAACAAAGATCAAAATTATTCAAAGGATAAAACAATATTGCAGTATTGATGCCACTGCTCATTACAGTTATGTTTTTTGCTTTTATCAAAGGAAAAAATTATCATTGACTCAATTTTTTTAATCCCTTTTTGCTTTTTGATTTAACCTCTTGTACTCATTTATAACATCTCAACATCTCTGTCAATTTCAAAGTGTCAATGTAAAGGCATTCTGCAATTGGAAACTGGCATTGTGACCATTAATTTTTTTATTTTATTCTAATATCAGATCATTAGATAGATTTTTTTCAAAGTCATTGAGTAAAAAAAAACAACTTTTGGGAAGAATTTTTATTTACAAGAGAGAAAATTGACCAAGACTGTGATCCTTGTGACCTGTGCATTAAAATCGATTGCGTAACACGGACCTGGTAAAAAATAGCATAGCGGAAGTTTGTTGCTACACGAAATGTCATACAGAACTCATTGCTCCTGAAACTTCACCAGTATATAGTTGTTACCTCTCCAATTCAAATCCAGTTTATCACTTACTTTTTTATTGCCAGAATGTTTGCCGTTTATTGTAAAGCTACATTGCACAATATAAAAAATTAGTGTAACATTTCAAATTTCCACTATGCTGAGAAACATGAGATGTGGTCGGGCATCTTTAAAAAAAATGACAAACATGGCTTACACGTAACTTGGTAATGTCCATTACCAAAATGATTACCACGTGTAAAATATTCCCAAATATCACTATACTTTGGTCCAAGTTTATTTTTGTTATCAGTCATCTTTAATTATTATATTCGTGGGAGAAAATAAATGATATAATTAGAAAAGTAAAGATCATACTTTTTATTTGTATAATAAATATTACAACATTACGGTTAGTTGCAATACGAGTTTGCAACACCGTAATACCGTAATTTTGCATTACGGGTGCCAACTCTAGATTAGTATTAGTAATTATAATAGTAATAGTAATTTCGTTTCAACGGATTTTAAATGAAATTTTCTTATGCGTCCAACCATTCCGTTGAAACGAGGGTTATAGTGTA